CTAGTGTGTGAAATAAATAATGAATATTATTGATTCACCTGCGTATATATTACCTCCCCCTTTTAAAAAGAATCTTGCAATCAGTTTAGTATCTTTTTTCCTTGGGGTCAATTTGGAAAGGAACTGTTTGTGTTCGTTTGCGCTGGGATCGTCGGCTGGGTAGCATCTCTTGTTTTGCTTCTGGTGTGACTGGTGGTATTTTGAAAGTTTCCAGTAGTAAATCCAGTGGCAATTTAGGTTCTTGGGATGTAGTATATCGACGTCGTATCTGATTTTTATGTCTTATCCACCATTCATCCCCAACTTTAACCTTGTACATTAGAGTTCCATGTCGACATTCTATCAAGCCTTCGGCCCATTTTCTGTTCCTCGGTCGATAATCGCGCACATAGACGGCATCACCCTTGCGGTAATACGTCAGACTATTTCTTCGTTGATGTGACAAAGATGGTAACATGGAGTGGTGATGAGTTCGCAGCACTCGACCCATTAGAAGTTCTGCAGGGCTTTTCTTCTGTTCTGCCAGTGGTGTAGTTCGGTATACAAAAAGAAAGTTTTGTATTGCTTCCGGTTTCGCCCCTCCCCCTGCTTTCAACAACGCTCGTTTGAAAGTGTCGACAAGTCTTTCTGCCTGACCGTTGGATTGAGGGTGATAAGGTGGCGACCGCACGTGTTGTATACCGTTTCTCTTGCAAAATTCCTGGAACGCTTGTGAGGTGAACTGACTGCCATTGTCAGATACGATGATTTCTGGTATACCGTGACATGCGAAGATCTTTTCCAGGACTGATACTGTTCTGCTGCTAGAAGGTGGTGTCACTTGTACTACCTCCGGCCATTTTGAGTAAGAGTCCACAAGCACCAAGTAGTATATACCTTCTATCGGCCCAGCAAAATCCACATGTAGGCGGGACCATGGTTTTGACGTGGACCATGCTCTCGGTGGCGGATCTTTGGCTGCCATGACAGACATCACTTTCAGTTTTTGAGCAGAGCCTCTCTTACTGGAGCTAACAGTTGCTACTTTGTTGCTACCAGACATCGAAGCACTTTTGGCGCAGCTATATTGACTATGGCGATTCGAAGTCGGTGTTTCATTAATCACGACATTCTTTATAATGGGTTTAGGTCTAATATACCTGTCTCGCATTTCTGGCGTTCTTGTTGAGGGTTCAATACTTTCGACCTTATTGCATACACTGCTTAACGGAATTTCTGACAGGTGCAGCTTCTCGAACCAGTCTAAACCCAAGAGGTCAAGGTTTGAATTATTGATGTAGCATGTGCCGACGAAATGACTATCACGAAAACCAACGCTGCATTTAATTGCTCCATTCAATCGAAGTCTTCCACCACATGCACTAATTGCTATCTGATTTGTCTTCTCTATGGCAGGGCATCCCAACTTCTGCCATAATTTCTTTGATATTATTGTAATGTCAGATGCTGTGTCGATTTGTAGGCGTGCCGGCCGTGTATTAATCGTCAGATTGATATATTTGCGAGGTGCTGGAGTACTATATGATATGCGGCAGTAACACCCAAAGACTTGAGCTTGTTGCGTCGTCTGAGTCGACTACGAGATCTGGGTCGGTTGTTGCGTTTGCAGTAGCCATCTTTGTGACCAACAGTATGGCATCGACGGCATTTATGCTGTTTGAATGGGCACAAGTTTGCAAAATGCCAGGAGCCACAGTACCAGCAGGCTGATGGTGGTTTATGCTGAGGATGACGCGGTGCCGTTGATGTCGACGGTACTGGATGCACCGGATGCACTTCTGCTGCATTTCGGCTGCCAGACTGCACCAAGACGGTATCGTTATGAATGTTGATTAAACGGTGATATTCTTCACCGACGTCTTTTAAAGTCATTTGTGGATCTTGTTCCAGACGATTTAATAGACGTGTGCGTATATCAGCAAATTTGGGAGACTGCAAACCACAAATGAAAATCAGTACCTTGAACTGGTCTTCTGAGAGCGATTTCAATTTAAAACGTTCACACGTGCGATTGACTATACCCAACTGAGTATGGATATCATCATTTTCGTTCAAAACTAGTTTCATGCAATGATATCGAATGTTGAATAACGATCTCTGATCACCAAACTGATGACGAAGGGTATGGACAGTTTCATCGAATGATCTTTCACTGGGCTTCTGTGGGAGAATTAAGTTGCAGTATTTATCTAGCTCATCTGCTCCCAATTTACGAAGTAGAAGCCGTACTTTCCAGGCATCATCTTTATCCGCAAAGTCTACTCGAAATAGGTCTTCATATCTGCGAAACCAGGTATCAAATGTTACGTTCGCATCTGGATCATAAACGAATTCTGAGATGCTGCTACCAATGCTGTCGTTGGCTGTAGATGAATCAGCAGAGCGTGATATTTGTAGACCAGCAAGCATTTCCATCAATTTTAGCTGCTGTTCCATTAGTTTCTCTAAACGCAGTGGGTCCATCTTCAGCAAACCCGTCGCCAAATTTGTTATGTATGTGAATATGAGGACCTTGTAGACTACGAGCGAATCTAATTTAATGCGCTGGCTAATCTGTCTTAATCGCACGTCAACAACAACAACAATAATACCGCCGGGCACGCAAGACAAATAAAAGAGAAGACTGGACGTTGATATGAGAGCTTTTACTGTCTCAAACAACAGTCGAAAATGTTAAACAACTCCGTATTTATACAATTAGAAAAATCAATGTCACATTTTAAAAATATTAACAACCTTGGGAATTCAGTAATTTAAATCAATAATCACGCAGATGCGTGAAATCAATGGTTATGCTAGTGTGTGAAATAAATAATGAATATTATTGATTCACCTGCGTATATATTAACGCTTCTATTTACCTCCTGGTCGAGGTCGAAGAACCCTACATTTAAACAGAAATGAAGCTGGACTCCAGACCATTTTAGTGAATTCACACTCAAATTCCATGAACGATCCAATGCCACCATTTGAAGACGCTGGCCAACATTCTGTACAAGGAGTATTCTTGATCTGAAATAAAGAAGCAACTGGTTTTCAAACAGTTTTCAATGTATTACTCAACTTACTTGTACAGTCTGTGATGCTGACACAAATGGAGCCAATGGATAGTTCTGGAATCGACCTCGGCCCCATTGCATGCAGTAAAGCAATCCAACATAACCTTATCTAGTTTTCGTATCCACGATCAAATTTCCTTCCTATTATAAAACTACGATTAGACTGTGAAAAAATTGAATAAATACATCACTGGCCTCAAAATAATACATCAATAAACTTTAAGTCATGTGAAGATCATGTGAAGAGGAGATGAAAGCATGTGGGCAGACCTGGAGCCAGGTGAAAACTCTAGCAGAGAACCGAACGCAATGGAGACGCATGGCTGAAGCCCTATGTTCCTCTAGGAACTAAAGGAAATAATAATAATAAACTTAAAGTCAAGGATACTGTTCACAACAAATTGACTTCAAGCTTTATTTTTCCCGGATATTTGTATTACATTCATCTGATATCTGACTTTTTTGTTAATGCGAAAACAGTATTTCTATACCTCTTTATGTGTTACACAGACAGACTATTTTGCAGACTGTTCCGGCTGACTCTAATGTCAGAAAGAACAACCAAACTGTAAATTCAGCATACATCGAAATATGTGTAATTTATATGATAACTTATCCATGCCTGTACAATTGGTATGTTCCTGCATAAACAGGAATGAAGAAATATATAAATATATATATTTTGCAAGGTTTGTGTTTCGGACAAACTGTCAGAATATTACCATCATGAGCAAGATGGGATATTTTGAGGGTAATGTCATCTACACAAATAATCTAATTTATGTAGAAACTGCAGTTTTTGGCAGGATATCATCCAATGAAGATTTCACCCCTAAGGATATTAGTGTAGTCTATTTTCCCTTGAAGAACAGTGCGTTTTGACAAGTGAATGTTATCAGTACAGGGAGGTCACCTACAAAGGCTAACAGAAGCCAGTGTGAGAATAGAATTTATGATGTGTACCGATTTATAACCTTACGTGCTTTTGGACAGGAATTATTGGAAGCTGAAAGGATACCTACAAGTGGATTTAATATATATTTGCACTGACTGGTGCAGTATAATATAGGTTATGTGGATTCAATGCACAAAAATTATCTCAACTTTATTAATGTTGGGCCAATGTGTACTTAGCTGACTGCTAGGCTAACATATGTAGGTGGTTTTCATAATTAATATATGTGTAAATCCAGTAAATAATACTGTTTCACTGAGTGATATATCTAATAAACAAACTAATATGGTTTTCATAATTGTTGAAAGTGCATTGAAGAAGGTGGTTGCTTGTTTAATTTGTGTCAAGGTATCACTTAATGCATCAATTCAGTGTATGGTATTATTATGCACATGAATCGTGTTTGTTATGAGAACTTAATCCAGTAAGCTCTATTGTTGTCAATCTACTGTTTGTTATACCATTTCCACTGACACTGTATACTTAATGTCTATGCTTCAGTGTTCTTAATCAACAGTAATGGAGATGAATTTGTTCTGAGTTTTCCATTTACATGAAACGGTACAGATATGGTTTCCAAAACTTTCACATGGATTATTCCGTTAAGAGCTGGGAAATAACTACAACACTGCAAAGGCTCGTGCAAGCAATGTATAAAACAATTACAAGGAAATGAATTAACTTTCCTGGTGGCAAAACTTTAGACACAAATGAAATAAAGTTTTAACGGCAATGTAAACCAAAATGATGTTAGATGCAGCATTTCTGAATAATCTTCATCAAGATAAGTTGAGAATAACTGCGGGATTAACGTAAGAGCTAGTGTGTGAACGAACGGTTAGCATACAGCAATCCAACGTGGGGAATAACAAGGACGAAAACGACCTTCAAATAACTTATACATCCAATGACTTTGATTATATTAATATAATATATTTACAATATGTTAAATATTATATTAAATAACATTCATCATTACGATCCAACTCTTTGTATCACTAGCGCCAACTCTGATTTGACCCGTCAAGGTCATTTAGATCTGATCTTAGTTCGGCGTCGTATAAAAGGTCGTTCTGCCGAGTGAGTGGTGCTTGTGATTTGTGTGCAGATGAGGCGATTGTATGAAGTTATCTCATTTACACCATAGACAGTAGTTTCTGAAATTAACTCAGTCGGATAAAAATGGGCACGACTTCTGGCAGATGGTAAGAGTAGTAATATTATGGGCGAATTTCGCTCGAAATGAGCGAATAGTGCCTAAATGGTGTCTAGGATAGGAAGGTAGTGGTTAGATAATGAAAAATACTGGTTATAGGAAATTATAGGATAGCACTGGCTTAGCAAGAACAAATTTTTAGTTGAATTTTGGTTATTTAACCAAAATTCATTCATTCTCTGCTATTATTGACCATGCTCATTGTTAGGCTTTTTGTTCACCATTTTCTTCTGATTGGGTTTTTTCGAAAATTTGTTTTCTCTATGAACCTCTTTATGTTAAGAACCATTATTTGTGACTCAGATGTTATCATTATCAGTCGTCATTATTATTGTTATTTTGTCTGTTTTCACTTCTCTCCAGGTACATCACTAAAAGGTGACTCAGGCCATTCAGTTGTTTAGTTACTTTATTTATTAATGTTATCGGTAACGGAAGCATGAGTCCGAAAATTCGTGACCATATGAGACTCTTCTTATTGAGCGTTCTAAATGAGGACCCTGGGCTGTTATCGTAAGTTCTATTTCCTGAAGTTTATACGTTTTATCCGAAGTTTATGCACACTGAACGAACTAATATCTGTTTTTGTACAAGAAATGAACATTAGTCTGGATGAGAAAGCATGTGTAAAATTAAAAAATTCTATATGCTCTTTCTTTTGTGATTTAATAAATGAAGAGGTAAAATGGTTCTTCTTATTTTGCATGAAACACAGGGAACTATAAATGTGGATCTTGAGAATCAAAACTGTATGCCAGTTAAATGTACTGTAAGTCTATATGTCTTTTATACTAGACTGTTTTAATTTTTATGATTTTTTAACATGCACCCACTGTTAGAAGACGTGTCATATAATATTTGGCATGTTCATATCATTTCTTTATATTGAAGGCTATTTAGTCAATCAGTTATGCGAGCTGAATGAATTTCACTTATATTATTATGCCTTGTGGACAAAAAATCATGGACTATGTTTGTTAGTATAGCTCCCTTGTCACGAATGTATTTTACAGTAGATTACCAGGCTCACTGAATGAAACCAGTGAGTTATGCTTTCTTATCCACATGTTCACTGTGTTAAGTCTCTGACCTGCATTCGTGAGTAAAAATCCTGGAGATAAGGTACAAAAGTTCAGTGTTTACGATTAGTGTAGATCCACTTTTGATATTTCAAAGAACTTTTCGGCATATGTTGTAACTTACGGGTAATAACCATCTTCATCTTAGTCAGTCAAGTAATATTGGACTACAAAGTTATGTTGCGATTCTACTACGTTGGAACAGTTCTGTGGAGATAATTGTCGTGGAACAGTCGTTGGATAACTTCAGTTTAGATAGTCTAGAAACAGCAGGCAGGACTAGTATCATTAATATTATACCTCTAGCTTACTCAGTGAAGTTGGTGTAACAATGACGTCAAGAGTCAAAAGGTTTGACATTTGATTTATGTACTTTTTGGAAGTTTCATCTTTCACACAACAACGTAGGATCGTGAGTTTTTCAATTGCTGTTTACGCCTCGCCTCCAGGGTTGAGTGCAAGATAAATGTTTCTGTTAATAAAGCAGTTTGTACTGCAGTAGTGCAGTATTACAATACCTGCAGATATTCACTACAAAATGATCTAATGCGGTTTGGATATTCTCTATTCTCCCACTTTATAAAGATATGGTCTGGGAACTAAACACTTTCCTTTTTTGGAAATGGATCTATCTTACTACGATGCACTTCAGTGTGTCATTCGAAACAACGTTAAGAGTGATTCCATATTAATTTGTTTATCACACAGTGAAACGGTAGTATTTACTGGATGACGTTTTGAACACAATTTGTTTATAATTTTCTTTATTCTTATTTGTTGTAGTTGAATTAGAATTTTCCAGATGTCTGGGATGGGTGTTGAATCATTTCTATCTAGATTAGTTTACCCTAATAAAATAAGAAATCTATCAAACACCTCAGTCATAGCACTACATGCAATTACACACAACCATACGATAGGATGGGATAAGATGACAGTTTTGAAATCTAATGCAACAGGGTGGAGAGAGAGATTGATAATGGAAGCTTTGTTTATCGAATCAACTGCAAATACATGTAATGGGAATGATTCAACACCTGTCCCAGACATCTGGAAAATTCTACTACGACTACAACAGAAATAGGAAAGAATAAAGAAGACTATGAAACTAAAGTTTCGGAGTTGTATGGTTATAGTTGATATGGTTATGAACAATAAATTGTGTCCGAAATCTCGTCATCCAGTAAATAATACTGTTTCACTGTGATATATCTAGTAAACAAATCAATATGGAATTACATACTACTGCAATGTCCACGTTTTACACATACTAAAGTTAAAGGTGAATAACGGATAGGGTTAAATTCGAGTGGCTAAATTTATTGTTTGTAACAATGGGTGCGTTTTTGCATATCGTCGCTGATCCTTCTATTTTATATCAGTGGCGAATATTTTGTCGTATTATTACACAACTGGTTGCAAAAACTTGGTGCCTCATGAAATTGTTCCCCCACCCACTATTCTCGATGATTTATCTAGAGTCCCGTTGTAGGTTTTCTCTGAAGTAAATAGTGTAATTACAACACTGAATTTGAAAGTGAAATCACTGATATAAAATTTCTTGGTTAAACGATCTGTTCGTTAGGTCTAATGGGAAACGGGGTCTTGAATGCCTCTATGTAACTAAGTTTGACTCAGTACACGAAATAATGGTTTCAGAAATGACTGCCTATGGTTTCCAGTCTCCGAAAATAAAGGGGAAATGCATTAGCACAGTAGATTGTAAGCTCCTCGCATAGTATCTCCTTGAAGGAATATTTGTATTAGACCTTTTTTAAAAGCTTATTCTTTTCTCTGGCACATGACTATAACTCAGAGTTTATAGGTTTAATGTCGCCCAAGGTATACCAATGATTTTGAAAGTAGTATATGACAGCTTTCAGGAGAGTAAATAGACAAACAACCTCATCAGCAGGTAACAAATACATTCACACACATACATAACATCTGTCTGTATTCGATGGAATATAATAAGAAGTTAGCAGACAGCTTTTCAGTCTATATTTTCCTTTTATAAGAGTGAAATGTAGTCATTGTAGTGGAGTGTAATTCCATATAGGTAAATTTTTTTAAAATGGCACATGGTGCAACTAACTGCTGTGTTTTTCACTCATCATATAAAGGTAATCACACTAATTTTTATATAGTTGTATGTATTCATCAATTTTAATTAGTAACCCGATTCTTCCCGTTTCCAGATTGAAAGTTGGGTCGTTCGTGCTCTGTGTTACATGTTTATTTGATAAATTCAGTAGTCAATCTTTCTCCATTTAATTTCATTGAGCTTTTAAAATTGTACCGTATCTTACCTAATTATGGGGTTATGGACCGGTGGTCGCGTCTCTAAAGTCGAGCTTTTTCTATGTGTGGAGCTTGTAGTTTAATATTCTTGTTTTTCTGTATCTTGACAGACTTTCATAGATTGTTTAACCAAGATGATGGTATTCTATATGTTCTTATTTAAACACAGTAGATGTACCATACAGGGTGAGTCAATATGTTCCTAAGGCCATACATTCCTAGCCGTTCATAAAGATATGGTATAATGGGAGATGTTGAAGGACCTATCTCGATTTGTGTTTGTTTATATATTTCGTTTTGTAATTTAAAAACTAGAGGTGTGGTGTAAGTATACCCTTACATAGTTCCCTGAGCAAAGCTCGTTTCTCTGTGCATCTGTAACCATCTTAATTTCTTCTGTCAATAAAATATTTTCATATTAAACATAAAGAATTTTCTTTTTGACTAATCTAGCCTGCTGTATCAGACAATGGAAAACATGTTGTAATGCTTTCTCGTAAAGAAGTAATCGCGCTAGCGGCTGCTACAGTTTCTGATAAAACAAATCCTGTAGTTTCATTGTCGAAAGATGGAGAGAGTATCAGCCAGCGAATCAAAGTAGGTTGTTATTTATTTATTTATTTTTGTCTTACATTTGTCTTTTTTAACAGTACCTGTTTAGTAGGTGATGGAATAAAATATAAGTTTCAAAATGAATAGCTGACATCTTAGCATCTCGAGAAGCCCAACCATAAAGTCTACACCTCTTTATATGGCTCAAAACAACTGTGGATTAATGACAGTTTTTGATTTGACCACTTCTAACTCCTTTCCAGCCTAATTCTATGTTAAATAATATTACTCAACGAAAAAGGCAGTGACTCGTCATGTGCATCACGTGTCCTAGCCATCTTAGTCGATGTATCTTCACAGGCTCACCGATTGACTTCCTTTCCGTACTTAGTACTGTATGCTCAATCTGAATTTTACTCATCTTGTTATACTAGTTAACGCGGGAAATAGAACGCAACCATCTGTAGTCAAAGGGAGCTAGCCTTTTTATATCTTCCACTTTCAGTGATCATTTCTGGTAGCCACCAGGGAGGACAGAGTGAACTACTGTGCCATATATACATCCGTTAACACATAGATGAATATTACATCTATGTCAGAGATGAATTAAGTTGGCGAATCCCACATGAGCTTTTTGTATCCGTGCTGAGTTTGTGTCAGCGATCAGTCCTTTTGGGATGAGGCCACTCGTTTTCATTCCACTGTTGTTAATATTCTACCGAAAGTAAAAAGTTAATCATAATATTCAGTAGGTTGACTGCACTGATTAGGAAATGAGTTCAATTTTAGTGGTATTTGTAAAATACTTGGTTTGTCATTTGATTAGAAGTTACATTTAAAGGAAAATGTTATTATGAATGTTGAGAATATTCTAAGTGCTCCACACACATTTTATAAGTTTTTGAATATACTCCTCAATTGTCAGATAGTTCTCAATGAATGGCCAGCATCGACATTACAGTTGGGTGAAATAAAATAGTTACAATTTTAAATCCGTAGATTTCTAAAACAACAGATTGAGCAAAAAAAGTTAATTCCTTTTCAGTTGGTTAATTTTCATCGGCCCTACACTAACAGATAGATTTTAGCATCAAAATTTCACTAATCAAGTGGTTATTTTAGCCCGTCAGTTGTAGGTATAGGGGCTGAAATTAAGGGGTTAAGAGTCATCAAAACAATTAATATAATAGATGTTAGTAACGAGATATCTAAGTTTTGAAGGAGGGGTGAAAATAGTTACGGAATTCAAAATAAGTTGATTTGTAGGCGTTAGCAACAGGTTATTATGTAATCAAGAAGTTTGTGAAATAATGATAAGCGAAATAGGGTGGCCTAGTAGAATTACGTAAAATACAAACAAGTTAATAGAATTAGCTAGAGTTGTAATCATGCTAAAATAACAAAGTTAAAAGGGAGTTACAAGAGGAGGGGAAAGTCGTTTTTAAAAACTTAAAACACATTGTGTAGTTGACCATGGCAGAGACAGGGGCTGTACAAATTTCCCTTGAACACAGATTTGGCTTGTTCAGATGAATTCCGATTGCCTCTTCTGTATATAAAAGTTTTACTCGTAGACCATGCGAGAGATTGGGTGAAATACGATAAATAACTTTAAAAGCTTTGTTAGAGTCAACTTGATGTCCAGTATCGACAAGATGAGCTAGTATTGAGCTGCGTATAGCTTTATTTGAACTTTTGCCAAAGCGATATGGAAAGTGTTCAAAAATTCGATGATGAACTTGCCTGGTCTTACGGCCAATGTAGCTAGTTTCTCACGAGCAGTTACACGCGTAAGAGGCGAAACAGTGCAGTTAGTCTTTATTTCTTGAATTAAGTATTGGTTGGCTAGTGAATATACAGCATAAATTAGCTGCGTTGAAAGTCCTTTTGAAGGCCCTTCTCAGACGTTGGGATAAAGTTTCACTATTGACATCACTCATGAATTGTAATCTTAGGAAGATTGGATTTTTGGGAACAGTGGGCACCTTCGACGTTTTACTTACTGAGTTCATTTATTCAAAAATTTAGTCTGATGTCCGTTTCTACTTAGTAGATCACGAATATTACCGAGTTCTTCGTTCAGTGTTTCATTTGAACAGATAACTCTAGCCCATTGAACCGAACATCTAACCAAATTACGTTTGTATTATAGAGCCACGAAACTCAGGAAGTGAGTATACTGTCTACATCGTCAACATATTGTCCCTTCTGTTAGCTAAGTGATTACGACGTCCAAAACAGAGACAGAGTTATTTTCTTCCTCTTCTTTAGTTATGCTTTTGCCACGGTGTGCTTTATTGAGTTTTTCTAATACGTACTTAGTCTCACTTTATTTCCTCACAACTACAAATGTATCATCGGCCAATTGGCAATAGAAATCAAGATTATATATTACATCTTTAAGAGGACCATTTTCTAGTTTCGCCAGGAAGAAATCTGCTAGGATTGGGCCTACTGATGATCCCATGGTAACACCATCTGATTGTCTATACATTTCTTTACTGAACAGAAAGTTCACGTGCATTGTACACCTTAGAAGAGGTTCCTTTAGGTAAGACACAGGAATTCCGATCTGTATACCTTGCTTTCTCAATTCAATACCTATATAATCAACTGTTTCCATCAAAGGCACATTGATGAATAAGGAAGATACATCCAGTGATACCATGTGTTTATCCTTCATAATTAATTCTTTGATTCTTTCTACAATTTCAAAACCATCTTTTACGCTATTTTACACAAGTTTCTTATGAAACGGCTGTAAAAGTTCCACCAGTCATTTTGCAGTTGAATAGTTTGGTGAGCTAGACATATCGAGGACCGGTCTAAGTGGCAAGCCGTTTTATGAATCCTCGGTAAGCCGTATAACCTGTGTGTCACTGTGCCTACAGGTTCTAGTGTTTCATACAAGGCAGGTGAAATATGGCCCTGTCGTTTCAACATTTTTAAAGATTGTTAACTGTCTCTCAGTCTTCTTCGTTGTGTCTTTGTTAGTTGATAGTTTCTGAAATTTAAGTCCATCACTTACCAAAGTGATCAAACTTGTCCATGATAACGACTCCTGAGTCTTTTTCAGGTTTATAGATGACTATATTCTCATTTGCTCTCAATTGCTTTAAATAAATTCCTATTCATAGTCATGATATATTCACAGGACTAATTATTCTCAAGATGTTAGCGCAGATACAGGAGATCTGTGATATGTGTTGCTCGACACATACATTACGTTTAAATTCAGTCAGCTGCGTGATTGCCTACTTAAATGTGCACACACCATAGTGATGCTTGACTTAATAAGTTCTTGAGGCTTTGTTGACAAGAGGCGAAATTATAGAGTAAAGGATACTACTACTATTCGTGGCAAATTGGTTTTAGCATTCAACCCATAGCCAGCCAATGGGTTCCGGGTTCGAATTCCGCGCTCCACCTACCTTAATCTGGACAACTGGGCAGTATCACCAGCTCCTATACAATAACTATGTCCTACAGTCCAGTAAATGGAAAATCTGTCTGTCTGTTTTCTAAGTAGAACTTTGCACCGATGTGCGATGACCCAACAAGCTACACTGGCTGAAACCAATGTTTCTGCAGGTCCTACCATTCCAGGAAGATTGTTAGGATAGCAATTAGACTAAAAGCAGTTACCACCGGCATTGTGTAAGAATCTTTCTTACATTATGCTGGGGGTCTGAGGGCGAAGTCGTACTGCTGGGGAACAGGGGTGTAACAGCAGTGAGGTGTTTCCCTCAGATGACCAGCGTGCCAGCTATGCTGTCTCTCCTCTACGGGGATAGAGAGGGTTAGGAAAGGTCGACCCCAAAAATTGTAAATCCCGACTTACCCTACGGTGGTCCGTAACCGGCGGTAAGTTTACTAATACGGAACCAATCCCAGCAAACAGTTCATACAGGCCGTGTGTGACCGGCCTCAAGCAGTTGTCCCATGGGCTCTGTGGTCACGCAACACTAACCCTCTCTCTGTTTCAGGTACCCGAAGAACCAATGGAAAATTTGTTCCGGGATAATTGATTTTCATCAAGAAAACTGCTACTCATGGTGTTTGGATGTGGGAGGATAAGTTAACTACTGACACTAAAAGTTTGAGATGGCCTGATTGTGTGTTACATATTCTAAATCACCATCTTCTTTGAGTGTAATATCGGTTGAATTATTAGTATGTCCAAAGTAATCTAGGATATTTTTTAATATTTAATTTAATTCAATTTAATTCTACTTGTATGTAGTGACTAGTGTGAATTCATAATACATATGGAATCAGTATTAGGAATCTCGATGTAATATTTCGCTGAAGCAATAATGGTTCCAAAAGAAATTTATTCATTATTATTGACAGTTTACCAAAGGCAATGTTGTTTTCATAGAATTATTTAATTCTAGTCAATTATTTAGTGCTATTGTGGTGAGAGCTGGCTGCTAGCCAAACCGGTAGACAGTAATTTACGTCAAGGTTTATGTCCCAAATATTGGTCGTGAGAAAAATATGAACAAAGACTTTGCGTAGGCGGATACACTTAGCATATAGATGATCTGTTACCTGGCCCTTGTCTTCTGTTGTTACATTTGGTGTCGCTGCCTACCGACAAATGGAAAGCCTATGCCCTGCAGTTTTTGATGGAGACATGGATCTTCGGGCAGGACTTTGAGGCTTCTTCGCAGTTGAGTGGCGTTCAAGATCTGTCAGCGATGAGGCTGCTACTTGGGACGCTGCTAGGAGGTCGGGAGAAAGCAGTATATGGAAGTGTGAGACGAAATACCGACGAATGTGCGACAGGGTCACGCAAACGGTTTCCAAAGTGGGAAGGACCACATATGGTCATGCTGAGATGGGGTTACGCAGACACAATCGCAATGGTAAACAAAGAGAAACAGGTGAACATCAGCAAGCGCCGAGATTGCAGACAGCAAGACAAACAAGCAAAGCCCCTAGAACCAAGAAGACCGAACCAACTTCAGTCGCAAGTCTTTGACGGGGGGACGGGTGTGGTGAGAGTTGGCTGCTAGCCAAAGTTGGTAGACAGTAATTAACGCCAATGTTTATGTCCCAAATATTGGTCGTGAGAAAAATATGAACAAAGACTTTGCGTAGGCGGATACAGTTAGCATATAGATGATCTGTTACCTGGCCCTTGTCTTCTGTTGTTACACTATGACTTAATAATTGTATTTGTTAATATCTAGTTAAATGTGACTTATGGAATATGTATCAATTTAAAAAAAAAGTGTTAGATATGTTGTGAAATTTCATTCTACTTGTAGCAATTACGTCAAACTCCGCTTCTTGCTGCTAGTAGATCAATTGTACGAGGTTGTACCAATAACGAAGTCAATAGTTCCGATGCATCAATCTTACAGACAGCTCCTTTAAAAAATGTTCAAATTATTCATACAATGCCTCACTCGGAGTCGAACCGGCGGACAGAATCTGTTAGAAGTTCAACAGCAGCTAGAATACCAACCACTGACAATAATAATAATAACAGTAGTAGTATTAATTCGACTAAGACATTTAGTTCACCTATTTTGTCTTCATTTTTATCTCAGTCTTCATTAAATGATCGTCAACGTCATATATCAGCTCCATCATCCTCATCTTCATCTTCATCATTAAACTCTGGTTCACATCAGACTACTATTGATAATCATTTTAAACCACTAAACAAAACTCAGGCTAACAGGAACTTTGATAAAGACAGTAACAACATTCTTATTAAAAGCAGTAACATATCCGATTCAAAAATGGGCATAATCGTTAAACGTCAATTAAGTGAAGCTATAGTACCACGTAAGTTTGATCTATTTACTTTTAATTAGATTATTTGAATAATGGTAATAATAATAATAACACTAGAGCACTTTGTTATATCGCTGTTGCCCAATTTATGATCCAGTCACCTTACAGTAATGAAGCCAACTATCCAGACCAATTAACTTGATATCTTACGTCGAACTTGATTAGACCACGTGATGTTGATTACCCCCACCCGTCGTCCCCAGTTGATTAGTCATTGTGCTATCATACCCGTGTAAGTGTATGTCAAAGCCTGATTAGTTCACTGATAACGTCTGTGACTACAGCACTAAGCGTTAGGGTTTCGGATCTTAAAGGTGATATCAGTCCGGTTAAGATTGCGGTTACGCTTTGTTGATGAGTGCTAGTAGGCATAAAATCTGGTTACAGGGTTTTGCTGTTGACTACAAAAAACCATCTAACAAATATTCTTTCCTCGGTTTTCATATTAATTCTCATGAACTCTGATATAATTTATCTGGGCACTTCGTTTCTATACTGATATAATCAGGTTCTAGAGAAGTAAACTAGCAGTAGTGACAATTTCTGTTTATAGCCATTTTTATCTAATAACTGGATGGAATGTGATATCTTTGATTTCAGATTCAAGTCTCAACAAGACAAAGACGTCAACAGGGTAATGATGCGTTTATTTTATTAGTCAGACACTGGTTACAGTTTGTACCAACCCTCAGGTGACCATTTAAGTTATCCTGTGTTAGGTGACAATTCCCGACCATCACATTTGTAGCTGTAGCTGTCTCACTGGCACTTAGTTTATGGTATATTCATAAATCTGACTGCCGATTTCTGCACATTTTGGTTGAATTTTCTAATTTAACAGAATGTATATAAATTTTAACTGTACTTGGATATCATCAAAGGGCGTTGTTTTTAGCGAATAATACGATATTTGTTGGGATGGATAACCTATCGTTGCTAGTTGTGATGTCATGATTGATGCATGCACCGACATGATAACCTAATCGGACAATTTTTGATTGGGTTATTTTTGGCTTGAATTTCCGAGGATTTGCAGTCATATAACCAATCAGATTTGTATATTTATTTGTGCGTAATAACTCGTCACTTTTATCACAGTTATATCAGACGTTTGTGTCTATCTCAGTGTGGAGATTATTTTCAAGTGATCAGTTGGTTATTGTGTCGTGTCTGAAGGCTCATTCTAGTGAAGTTAGACGACAACCATTTCGTCATAACAGTAGTCACTTCATCTAATCTAAATCCGTCAAAAGGCTATGGTTGTGAGTAGCTGGACTAAATTGCCTTTGTTGATAAGTAATATTACAGTTATTCTCGCCAATATTAAAATCTTGAAAGTAATTTCTTCGGATTCAGGCTTTCTAGTTGTTGAGGAAAATGTCCAATCAAAGAATCAAATACAGTTTTACAGGGGTTCAGTCGCTAGCTCTAATAGTTTAGCGGTAACGTCTCCTACGCCAGCACTGGATGACATAGGCTTGAATCTCAGGGGAGACATGCGTTCCTTCAAAGTGATTGCAGGTACGCCTTGCTGACTGGCGAGTACCAGCAAGCACGAAACTTAGGTCCAAGGTTTCCTACCGATTGCCTCTAACTGTCTCTTGTAAATTCTATACAAAGGTAAAATATTTTATAACTAAATACACTGAAAAGTTTGTGTACTATGTACTCACATATTGTCCGAAATAAAGCTTTTTTTGTTCAAAAAGTGTTTGATATGTCTTAGTTAACATAAAGTTGTGCGTACAGACTGCCATTTCTAAATGATGTACAGGACTTAAGAGTCAATGTGTTTAAATATTGATTGGAGGGGTTTTTCTTCTCGTAGACTACATTTTCTCATTCATTATTGGGCAGTATGACAGAGAAAAATTCCATTACAGAATAAATTTATTTAGTAAAAGCGCATACAGTGGTGTCAATAAATAATACTGTATCACTGCTTTTATCAAATAAATCTCTTCCATGATGATATTTTAAAGATTGTTTTACTTTCGAAACGCTAAATTATTTATACGTCTTACGCTTCAATGTACGAAATATTCCCATGTTCAGTCATAAGAAAAAGGCACAAACAGCGGAGAAAATTTTCTTTTCGACGATTCATTTTCATGAGCTGTACAATCGTAATTATAATTAACAAAGAAATCTCTAGACCAATCAGATACAGCTAAATTTTCATTATAAATTATTTGAATTATTCCCAGCGTGCTAACAAAATGAAAACACGATTTTTCTGAACGTTTCGCTGTGTAAGCCACAGCGTCTTCAGCAGATTTATGGTAAATTTTGATCTTGGAAAATTGTATTTCATAATGTAAGGTGTAAGAAGGGATGACTAATTGTAAGTTAGAAAGGAAACAGAAGTTGGCATGACGTAATAAGTGTGAGGTAATGAATAATCAATAAGCTCGTGTAAAATGGACAGGAACTAGTGGAAAGGCTATAAAGTGTTTTTGTATAAAATATTTGTGAAAAGCAATGTTATCAGTAAACAGTAATAGAGTGGTAATAAAATGTGGTTAATGGGAATAATAATGATAATAAAATTATTAATAAAATAATAATAATAATAGTGGACTTACATAATAAAAGAAAGAAGCAAAATTGTGGTAAGAGCTTTACTCTGGCCGTGGTAGGGCAAGAGAATGTATGTATCGCTTTTGGATGCAGAGGTCCGGTTTCAGATCTCGAATAGCTAATGCTTCAGCTATGTACAGATGGTGTATCCGAAGTCCCTTTGTACGATATTGAGGGACTCTGTGTAACACTATGAAGCATTCATGTGGGGGTGCTCGATGTCCAGAGATGACAAGGTGTTCGAGGATCGTGCTGTTGCTATTCTTCTTTTCTCCTCTGGATAACCAAGCTGGGCAGTGTTTCAGAATACCTTTGTGGACTTGATGTTGCGTACGGCCGATATACTTTGCTCCACACGAGCAAGTAAATTGATAAATACACATTGAAGTGGCCAAAAGCGGTATCTTGTCCTTAGCGTTAGACTGGATTAACTGTCTGCAGGAGAATGTGATACGTAAAGTGGCTGTTGGAAATGTCTTCTTCAGACATTTAGAAAGGCGGTTTCTGAGAATTTCCGCTGCGACATCACCTTTGAATTCTAAGTTCATGAAGAGAGTCTTCTTAGGAACCGTTGCGATGTTTGACACCGGAGGCTTCTCCTTCATGTTTTTGTCAATAAATCTTGGTGGATACCCATTCTCTAGTAGGGTTTTACGTAATAAATTTAATTCTTTCTCTACCATGTCTTCCGAGCAGATTTTTCTAATCCTTGAACACAACGTACGTACCAGGTTTCTCTTTCGGATTAGTGGGACAAAGCTCTGGAAGTTGATAAACTGTCCAGTCCATGTTGGCTTGCGGTATATCGATCTTTGGATCGTACAGTCGTGTCTTCTGGTGAGTAGTATATCAAGGAATGGAAATGCGTTGTTCGATTCTCGTTCTAAGGTGAAACTTATTGATGGATGCGCTGCGTTGAAGGTTTTGAGGAGAGAATCTAAATCACAATTTCCATCACAGATTATAAACGTATCATCTACGTATCTCTTGTATAAGTGCAGTTGACTTATCAAGGGATTGAGGATGTTGTTTTCAAGACTCGCCATGAAGCAGTCGGCTAGGAGTGGACCGAGAGGAGACCCCATAGCTACCCCATCTTTCTGTACATAGAACTTTTCATTGAATTTGAACTGGATATTGAACGTACATCTGAGAAGTTCCTTCAGGTAGTTTATTGGGAGAGGAACTTCTAGGTTGTTGGTTTCGATGTAATTACAAATGAAGCATATTGTTTCAGTTAGGGGGATACTTGTGAATAGAGAGGCGACATCTAGTGAGATCATTTGTCTTTCAGACACGTTGACATCCTTCACTGAGTCGATGAAGTCAAATGTATCTCTGAGGCTATATTTTGTCATATGTCTTTTAACGGGTTCGAGGATATCAGCTAGCCACTTCGCGATTTGGTGGTGTGGTGAGTTAACCATGTCTATGACAGGTCGAAGTGGGACATTCCCCTTATGCACTTTAGGCAGTTCATACAGTCTTGGAATAGTTGAACTGCATGGTTTTATTTGCTCATAAACCTCCGGTGTTATGACTGAATCTCCTTTCATTCTCTTCAGCAATTTTGTAAGTAGGTTTTCAGTTCTTTTGGTTGTGTCTTTCTCGTTGGGTGATTCGAAGAATTTGGTGTTATCTGATAGTATATTTGTCAATTTCTCATTATAATCGGATCTATTCATTACAACAATACCATTGCCCTTATCAGACATCCGTTTTGTTACCTACTTCTGAAAAAGATCTGGATCAATTCAAAGCTTCATTTCTTGACAGCTGTTACAAGTACATTCATACGCGACCGAGTCACCGTTATCTACTCACCAAGGAACACAGAGGACAACTTAAACAGCTTCAAGAAAACAAAAGTATAATCCTCATCCGTCCTGATGAGGGCAATGGAATTGTAGATCCGATTATAATGAGAAATTGACAAATATACTATCAGATAACACCAAATTCTTCGAATCACCCAACGAGAAAGACACAACCAAAAGAACTGAAAACCTACTTACAAAATTGCTGAAGAGAATGAAAGGAGATTCAGTCATAACACCGGAGGTTTATGAGCAAATAAAACCATGCAGTTCAACTATTCCAAGACTGTATGAACTGCCTAAAGTGCATAAGGGGAATGTCCCACTTCGACCTGTCATAGACATGGTTAACTCACCACACCACCAAATCGCGAAGTGGCTAGCTGATATCCTCGAACCCGTTAAAAGACATATGACAAAATATAGCCTCAGAGATACATTTGACTTCATCGACTCAGTGAAGGATGTCAACGTGTCTGAGAGACAAATGATCTCACTAGATGTCGCCTCTCTATTCACAAGTATCCCCCTAACTGAAACAATATGCTTCATTTGTAATTACATCGAAACCAACAACCTAGAAGTTCCTCTCCC